TGGACCTCAAATTGTTGAAGACTATGACAAATTTATGGGAGGAGTAGATTACCATGATCAACTTCGCCAGTGTTATGGTATTGATAGGCGCTCAAAGAAATGGTGGCACCGTATATTTTGGGGCTGTCTTGAAATAACTTTTGTGAACGCATACGTCTTATACAAAAAAACAAGAAATGAACAAAAATGACACTTTTATCATTTAGAAGAGAAGTGACTCTTGGGTTACGTAGCAAATCTCCAAAATTCACTGAAAGGAAGAGAAAATCTACAAACTCAGGACCGACTCCCAGAAAAAGGCGCTACAACTACAGTGAATCATCAGAAATACGATTAGGAAACAGAGGAAACCACTGGCCTAAATTCGTTGAAAGACGTGGACGGTGTGAAATGTGTAGTGCTCAAGGAATTCAATCTAAACCACACTCAACATGTTCTAGATGTGGTATTTTTCTCTGTGTAAATGAAAAAAAGAACTGTTTTTCACTGTACCATGATGTATCATAATCTAATCTATGAATCTAATCTAATCTAGTGTATTATCTAATGAATAAAAAATTAATTATTTTATTTTTTATTTTCTGACATAGTATGACTACCAAAGGTACTTAGTAGTACCACTTACAGAAATATGTCAAAATGCTATTTTGCTTCACTTTCAGACCTATTTTTCAACTTCTGGCATTTGAGGGTATGGTAATTTGTGGTACTTAGAAGTACCTTCAGGAGACAAAGGGTTAAGCCCTCAAATGGGTTAATGTTTAATTGTACGTTTGTTGCTTTTTCCGTGATCTATCATATGATATTTCCATTAAGCTAGGCTGTAGAGTGGGGTAGTGATAAGTTGTGTCATATGACGTGAATGGCCATATGCCAGACTACTAACGGTACTTGTGTATGTGTTACAATCGAAGCGATTTAATTGCATTGAGTATGAGTTAACTTGGAACATGCTAAGAGCCACGAGTCTAATTTTCATGGATTTCTCATTTTTGTTTATCTAATGTCGCTGCTAAAGGAAAGTGCGGAAGATTAGTCCCTCTTGGAAAAAAGTTAACAACTCAGATGTATAACAAAAAAGAATAGGTAAAGTTTATTTGAAAGACTTGAATGGAATCGAAACTTGATTAGGCATGCTTGGACCTTCATCATATTTATAATTAGGATAACGTTGATTATATTTGCTTTAATGAAAAATATATGGAAAACCCGTGTGATTAATATATGTATCAGTTACGGAAATCAGAAACTTCTCGACAATGGAGCTCCTTTCACTGATACCAAAGATGCAGTATTTACTAACACAACTGCAACTCCTACAATTCAAATGAGCATAACTTCTGAAACATCAAAAAACGATGCTTAGGCATTATTATAGATTCATTTATTTTTTAACCATAGCCACTGAATCGATATACAAAATCTACCTTTCTTTCATGGCACAGTTAGATGTTGAAGTTTCATCAAAATTAAATTGGTGATTTCCGAGCTAGGTGGACTTATCTTAAAAAACGTAATGATTTTTTCCAGTAATAATAATTTATCGCATACTCGTAGAAAGTAAAAAAAGTCCTATTTTTTAAATTACCATATTCTGCTTCTATTTGACGCTACGGATGAACATAATTTATGGATAAAACAAAGGTATCCCCGGTTATCTACGATATACAATTTCATATCCAACTAATCAAAGACAGCTTCTGATACCCTTAAGAAGACAAACTTTTTTTACTTCCCACGCCACCTATCGCGGAAATATTGTAAAAGCGAAAAATTTCTAAATTGAGACATTGTGTTTTTGGATGTTACATGGCATATATGGATATCAGGTAATTTATGTCTGCACGAGAAGGTTTCGCAAACTGAGCTCCGCATAATTTAGAGAAAAAGTAGTGTTCTAGTTTATTAAAAACTGTGAGTTTTAACCCAGAGGTTGCAGTTGTCTTGACGATTTGAGTTGTGAAAGCAGCACAAGGAAATCTGGATAAGTGCGTAAGTTATAAACGTTTATTTTTTCCGTTGGCCGTACATAAACAAAGTAAGCTGTCACGCCCAGTTATGCCCACGCTCTGAGAAGGGGTACTTTGGTTCTAAACGACCAAGTCTCGATAGCGATACCATCCAATGATCTTGACACTACCGCGAAGAACGATACAGTGTATTTAATATAATGTAATAATAATAATATATTTATTGCCCAACAGATACATCCATTTAAAGGACAATGTAATTGAATAAAATTTGATGTTACAATATTTTCAACTACAATCATAGCTCACCCATTTTATGAAAAAAAAAATGAATAGCTACACCTACTCACCTACATGTCTTAAATGTTATAAATTGAATAATAGTAGTCGCTGAATACAGCTTTGATTTTATCATGATGAATGTCACAATTATCAGCTATGGCGTTAAAGCTGGAGCACATAAAGTACACGGGTGACTTAATCATAACATTAGAATTTGGTGTTTTTAAGTAAAAAGCGAGAAATCTTCGGGAAATGCGGGACGGTACATGAAAATCAATTTTAGCTAATAAAGCTGAAGAATCAACATCACTGTGTACGAGTTTGTAAAGAAATGTTAAACTATTACAAACTCTTCTCAGCTCAAGAGGATGCATTTCAAATCTGAGCAACATTGGTGATTGGGGAGTCCCACGATTGGGATAAACACCATCTAATTTGAAAGTCAAGTATTTAAGAAATCTCCTCTGTACACTTTCAATTTCATTAATATAGATTTGGTAATATGGGTGCCATACACTAGATGCATATTCCAGCTTAGATCGCACCAGGGTGCAGTGTAAAGCCTTCAGTGTCGTTTCACAACCAAACGACTTCGCGTATGACACTATTGTACTAATATGACCTGTGAATTCTAATTTAACATCAAACAACACACCTAGATCTCTTACTTCTGAACAACGCATCAAACTGACACCTTCTAGTGTGTAATCAAAAACTATTGGATTCGTTTTCCTGGTAAAAGAACAGGTTTTGCATTTGCTAACATTCAAAAATAATTTATTAGTTGAACACCATTTAAATATATGATTCAGGTCAGCTTGCAAGATTAGACAGTCATCAATGCTGTTAATCTGAGCATATATTTTTAAATCATCGGCAAACAACAGAGAAGGACAGGTTAAGCAGTTAGGGAGGTCATTGATAAAATAAAGAAAGAGAAGAGGACCTATATTTGATCCCTGCGGTACACCGGATGAGGCCAAGTAAGGTGAAGATTTGAAACCATGATAAGAAACGTACTGACTTCTATCATGCAAGTAAGAAGAAATGAAATCTAATAAATGATTGCTAAAGCCAAAATGCTGAAGTTTACCTATGATTCTTTGGTGACTTATCTTATCGAAGGCTTTTGAGAAATCCGTATAGACCACATCCATCTGACCCCTGCTATCTAAGACCTCTGCAATTTCCTGGGTGATTTCAGTTAAGTTAGAAATAGTAGAGCGATTGCGCATAAATCCATGTTGCGTCTCAGATATCAGATGCGAGGTTAAAGGATAGATGTAGTTGTATACAGATATTTCAAATGCCTTACCAAAATTATCCAATATAGATATAGCTCGGTAATTTTCGATTTGACTAGGGTCCCCAGCTTTAAAAATAGGGCACACTCTAGCCAGTTTCCATTTTGTAGGAAAAGTTGCTGTACTGAGGGAATAATTAAAAATTTTCTTTAAAGGCGTGACAAATATGTGCGCCGCATCACGGACTACAAAGCTCGGTACCATATCTTTTCCTGCTGTTAACTTGTTTGGTAATTTACACAGTGCCTTTAGAATATCCTCATCTGTGAAGTTACCCATATGAAAACAGTCATGCTGACTATTAACAACGGGATGTTGGTATACATTACTATCTATAACATAAACACTTTGGAAATACTTTGCGAATAAATTAATAGTCCGATTAGAATTATCTGAGACTTCATTAGCAAGGGTCATCCTACCTGGTATTCTAGATGAGCCTTTCTTAGACTGGATGAAAGACCAAAAATGATTCGGATTTGTAACCAAATCATTTTCAACTTTTTGCAGATATAGATTGTAACAGTCTTTTATTTGTTGTTTAACAAGTGCACGGACCCTAGAAAACTGTCTATAGATTTCCTGACTTTTGGAACGTTTATATTGTTGATGCGGTCTACATTTCAGTTTTAAATTTCGAATAATATCCGAGCCATACCAACCTGGATAACGATGCTTATGCTTAATATATTTCGGAATGTACAGATCAAAAACGAAGTATAATTTTTCATGCGATTGACATCCTCCACGTTGTCCAAAAATCAATGTAAGTCAAGGCATTGTAAAGGCCAATGAAATTAGCTTTCCTGAAGTTGTACGTTGGAGTTGCTACATTCGTGTCAAAATTAATAGTGGCATTGAAGTTAGTTTCACAAACTACAGATAGAGAAGGATGATACAAATCTTCCCTGACCAGCGGCAAATTATCATGATAGGTTTTGCAGGTCATGTCAGTTATGACCAAATCCAACATTCTTTGTCTAGCATTCAAAACAGTATTGGGTTGAGAATTGGGTTGAAAATTCCAAAAATCTGTTAAGTGCAGTCGAATGCTTATCAACAATTGTATTATCAACAAAATTTGTTACATTGAAGTCTCCTATAATTAGGACATTTAATTGACTTATTGTAGTTTGTGAAAATGTTTCAAAGTCTACAAGTGTTACTTGTGGTGGTACATACAGGGCATATATAAATACCGAACTAAATCCTATAGTACATTGACTCAACATTAAACATATCTTTACATGCTAGCAAAACCCCTCCTCCGCATGAAGTGTTTGTTTTTAAGAAATCGCGGTCACAACGGTAGACAATATACTGCGGAGGAAATAGTTCCGAACTTCTCACACCACTATACAACCAAGTTTCGGCAAGTCCTACAAAATCATAATCAGAAGACAAAATATTCGACTGATAGCAACACAAAATTGGGTACGCGATCATGGCAGAAAAACCAATTAGTCTCGAGGACATCTACAATTTAATTGCCAAGGTTGAAATTGAGCACCTAAATAAGAACATCACAGAAGTAAAAAAAGAGATAGAGAACACGAATAATAAATTTAAAGAAATTAAAGAAGAAAATAAAACATTAAAAATCAAACTGAATGTGCTTGAAGCTAAGTTGAAGAAGTACAACGTAGTTGCGTATGGCAGAAATGAGGAAGATAAAGGAGCAGCAGAAGAAGCTAAAGAATTTATCGAACAAAAATTGGAAATTTTCATAGAAGCAACCCAGATAAGAGACTCCTATCGCATAGGTAGAAAGGTAGAGAATCAATAAAGTCTGAACAATTACCGAGAGGATCTGGCGTATTTGTCAGCAATGACTACATGCACATTTAAAACAAGCTAGACAAGCAAATAACTCAGCATATATAAAAAACAACAAATTATATGTGAATGGTGACGCCTATTCGTATGAAAGACTACAACCGGACGAGTTACCAGAAACATTTACAGCAGAAACTATATCGAAATCCGAAACAGGCCACAGATCCACAAACAACAATAGCGAGACCAAAAGAGGGGAAAAGAGATCTGCTGAAGAAGCTTCTTCAGGAAAGTCAAAAATCTTAGTAATTTAACAAGCCCCTAAATCAAGAAGCAATTCTAGGCCATAATAGACTAATACATTCGCGATTTTCGAATAGAAAAGATTAGTACTAAAAATGTAACATCTATAGATGAATGCAATAGCACTTTGAATTCAGAATGTAACAGAGAAAATGTTTCGTTATTGCATCTAAATATTAGGAGTATACATAGAAATTTCGACGAATTCAAAGTGCTACTGCATGGAATCAAAAAAAACATTCGACTGTATAGTTTAGTCAGAATGCTGGAAACTTGAAGATATTTCACTATATCAACTGGAAAATTATAACATATACTATAATGATGGTGATATTAACAAAAATGACGGGGTTATAGCTTATATCAATAAAAACGTTGAGTTGACCGAGAATACAATAATACAACTTTCTATCACAAACATAAAGATTTTGCAGCTTTCTATAAAAAAATGTAAAGACCGGATACTTGTTTAAGCTATTTATAGACCACCGTCAACAGACGCATTGTCATTTCTCAGTGACTTGGAGGCATACCTTGAATTTTGTAACAAAAGACGCTGCATCCATCTACTGGCGGGTGACATAAACATGAATATAATAGAAAACTCTGAGCTATCGGAAAAATACCTTAGCTTTGTATAGCCTTCGTCCGGCAATAAATGACTACACGCACAAAGCTACTGAATATTTCATACAAATATTGAACGAAAATATCACTAAATGTACGTATAAATCAAAACTCAAAAATAATCAAAAAGCAAGAAAAACATGGATAACTAGCGCTTTGGTGAACTCTGTAAATAAGAAAAACAAACCATATCGTGAAATGATAAAAAACCCAACGGAAATAACATTAATTACAGAAACTTATTAAACAACTTCTTAAAAATAAGTTAAAGGAATACTACGACAGCAAAATCAAGGAAACCAATTACAGTAGTAAGATGTTATGGGATTGTGTAAATGAGATTTCCGGTAAAAGGAATAAAAAGGCAAAAATAGATAAGATAAAAATCGAAAGTGGGGAGGAAATATCCAATAAAAAGGATATTGCACAGGACTTTTTGGAACACTTCACCAGCATTGGTGAAAAACTGGCAGAGAAGATACCACGCACTGCTCCTATCAAACAAGTAAAGAAGCTTATCCACTCAATTTATTTAGACGATACGGATGAAAATGAAGTGAGGGAGACTACTATATTAAGCTTGAAAAATGGCGATAACATAAAAGCTGAAACTCTGAAAAAAATACGATATTATATATGCAAACCTTTAAAATATATAATAAATGAATTTTTTCGTACAGGAGTATTTCACGATATTTTAAAGATAGCCACAATAACACCTACCTACAAAAAAGGTAGCAAACTTGATATAGAAAATTATAGACCAATATCTCTGATTTCGAGTATCGCCAAAGTTGTAGAAAAAATAATCAAGTCAAGGTTTTTTCAATAGGTATAACGTGTTACACAAAAATCAATTTGGATTTAAAGAAGGCATATCAACGCAAGATGCAATTGCTACACCATCCAAAAAACTGTACAGACTAGTTAACGATAAGATCCCAGCTATTTGCATATTTATAGACTTAACCAAAGCTTTCGACACCGTTAGTCATGACAAGCTGTTGGAAATACCCGAGCTTAGCGATATAATAAGGGGAACTACTTTAGATTTAATGTCGAGCTACCTAAAAAAGAGAACGCAGTGTGTCAAAATAGATATAACGTGACCAGTCATTATAAAGACGTATGCTGTGGGATCCCACAAGGAACTGTTCTTGGGCCAATATTATTTAATATATATATATATATATATATATATATATATATATATATATATATATTAGTAGTCATTGCCAAAGCCAACGACTAGTTGGGTACAAAATACAATTACTTGTTAATTGGGAAATTGGCAAAACTTTTAGGCTTAAGTTGACTCTTTTGACGATAAAATCAAGCTTTCGGCATTCTCTATGGAGCCATCATCAGGATTCTGAAAACACAATTATGATGCTAGCAAAGAAAACAGGAAAGATTTAAAATGTCAGACAACCTACCCGTCGGTGAGGTTGCAGCCACAAGGTGTTTCAGAAAGAACGTAGAAAAGATCGAACTTGTGTTCAATCACTTGTCTTCTGTCGACGCTTTACCGTTCCGTGCCTTCTCCCTCTACACGTGTAGCGGTAGTAGAAGGTTAGGGACTGCATTCCGATTGTTTCAACAAAATGTCTCCCCACGTGTAGTATTTTTAACTTGTTCGGGTGTATTGATATAATTTTTATTTTTTCTTAACTTTTAACGAAGGTATCTGTCGTTTTTTAACAAGCCCAATGTGCCCGTCCTTTTGTTTTTATACTGAACACAAGTTCGATCTTCTCTACGTTCTTTCTGAAACTGCACCGACGAGTAAGTTGTCTGACATTTTAAATCTGTCCTGTTTTCTTTGCTAGCATCACAATTATGTTTTCAGAATCCTGATGATGGCTCCATAGAGAATGCCGGAAGCTTGATTTTATCGTCAAAAGAGTCAACTTAAGCCTAAAAGTTTTGCCAATTTCCCAATTAACAAGTAATTGTATGTTGTACCCATATATATATATATATATATATTGATGATTTGTTCTCAATGGATGCGGGAGGTACAGTGTTAGGATTCGCGGACGATACTGTCATGATTTATGAAGACTCCAGTTGGCCCGCACTTAAAAGTAAAATCGAAAATAATTTTACCAACGTACTAGCATATTTCAACGCTAAGCTACTCACAGTTAACTCTGAGAAAACTAGTTTTGTATCTTTCGCATCCTATAGAAACCATATACCATAATATAACGAAATAAATGTCAGAATAGGAATTAATACGACAACCATTAAACGTCAAAGCAGCACTAAATATCTGGGAATACATATTGATCAAAATCTCGGATGGGATGTTCAAATCGAATGATAACTTGAATAAAGATTATTATTATAATTATAACATTGCTACTTTTGTTCCTCTACAAGATAGCATAACTAGAATTTCAATATGACGGTTTCTTGTCCTTCAGCATCAATTTTATTTTTTTCTCAAGGACGAAATATTGGATTTTTGCACAGGTGTTTGTGATTCCAAACATGTACATGTATAATATGTCAAACATTGACATTACCTAACCATAGTTCTTCCTAAAAAATGAAATTTTAGTACACCCTGCAAGTATTAATTGATGAAAAGTTACGATTCGATTTTACAATTAACAATTCATATTCTTCGAGTGATGCCCTTCAGACACTGATAAGACATCACTGACAGACTGAGGATTCGACTACAATGTCTGTATTAGAAGCATTTTTAAAAAGTGACCTAAAGTAACTGTCCTATATCACCCAAATTATGTGTGTGTGTGTGCAGAAGCGAGTAGCAGCTGCATTGCGGATCATCTCGTGGAACGTGCAATTTCACTTAGAAAATCAAGCTACGCACATGGTGCCATTCATCGATCTGTTTACTTATTTCGTATGACATTGCGAGGTAACCGCCAGAAACCGTGGAAAGATAGATCTAGATTCGAATACATCCCTATTTCTACGAATTGCTTAGCGGCGAGTGGATGGCAATCGTTTTGCAGAATCCAATCTCGAGAAGCGGCACGTCGCGGCTGACTTGAAGACAAAATCAAATTTAATTCTGGACAGCAGCGCGCTGAGCAGATCGATCGTATATGTCTGAAAGAAGGAACGCTTCATTTAACCTTACATTGCTTCCAAGTGCCAAAAAAACGACACTTTGCTAACAGAACGGATGTGTTCGGGTGAACTGGTTACTTTCATTTATTCAGCACACAAACGCGGACAACATCTTACTCGTCTTCTGTCATTTCCTATATGAATAGGAAAACAGTAAGTATGATGAATATAAAATGGAGTAGTTGACTGCTTTTTATTATGTACATGATAGAAAGTCAAGTGACTCACTGTGTGTTGTCGCTCTGTACCCTAATCCTTTAATTTCCCTTCTACTCAGATTGGCGTAAAGCCTGTTGACTCTGTACTTTTGCAAGCAAACATAACGCTGAACTATAATACAAAAAAATCAATCAAAGCAAATGGACGTGAAATAGATAAAAGAAAAAATATTCAATACATGTTCAAAAACTTTTCTTTAGCTGCTAATAAAACGAACCAGAAATTTAAAAACAATTGTTACTTCCCTACTGGTGGGGAAGTACATATTGTAATCACAAAAATTTTCGAAAATGAGATTATATTTTATGGATGTTATACAGATATGTCATGCACATCGCGAAAAACCATTTGTGAAGCACCGCTCGGCACGAATATTACGTGTCTCGAAAACTGACGTTATATCGTTTTTTTTACATTATACTGTTTTTTTAACATTATGTAGGTTTTTCTACAAGATGTTAACTTAGCACTTAGTTGTAATGAGGCTTCAGTTATCAATGTTTGGCTCTGATGTGATGTAAAATCTGCTTCAGAGATGGCATTTCCGGAGGTCTAAGCTGTAAGTTGTCTGCGTTGATGATAATTCCATTTTATGTTTGTCTAAAATACACTTAATTGAGATTCAGAGTTAGAAATTAGTTGCGCATCCACTTTTGCTTATCCATTCTGGAAATTACATATGCAAATTTGCTGAATTTCAAAAATGAGGGAGATAAGAAATAATTATATTCACTGTACACTGTCGAATTACAA